TACAAACTGTTTAATATGATAGTGTCATTCAAAACAAATATAAATTAATTATTAACGTATTAAAACAACTTTTAACTTTTAATTTAAACATTTATAGTTTCAAGTCTAAACTAACTGACCCAGAAAATTGTAACACAAAACTTTCTGAACAAATATCTTATTTTGAAACATTAATGATTTATTCTATGTTTATTTCATATTATTAAATTTATATAAAAGTGTATTAATAATATATTTTTTAAAATTTATATAAAAAATTGTATAAATGAAAACTTACTGTGGATTTCCACTGAGAACACTGACTTTTTTGCTCGCATACCTGTCCTGACTAATATCCACGTACGAGTCATTGCAACTAATAAAGGTATGTCCGGCCTCTGCCTGGAAGTCCACCCCTATATTCTTGACCTCAAACTGTCCGCAATCGGGTCTCACTATTTTGCCCCCACCTATACTCGTGGTGAACACCCGACCCAAAAACACAGCCTCCAGTCCCACCTCATGCGGTACACTAGTGTTCACATGTACTGTAATGGTGTCCATAAGCGCCGACTGTTCAGCCTTGGCGTCCGACTCGCTATTCAGGTCACAGAAGTAGTAATACCCGACCACTACATCCCCGCCCATTGCCTGTCGCTTAGCCTTTTGTAGACTACAGGTGCGATACCGGCTCACTATAGGCTTTACAGTTGGTAAATATGCGGTGCTATTATTTGTGTGACTACCGGTGTTGTTATGCTCGGGAAAGTTGATGTCTATCAAGAGGAAAGCCACGTTAACCTTATGCTCGAACTGTATGCGCCACGTATAGCACGTGGACTCCTTGGCCGATATGGTGAGCTCGACGGGAACCCGTTGTAAATGGTATGAGTTGGAGCGCAGGGGTACCTCCGGTGGAGACTCCCACGACCTGTTTATGGCTTGAGATAGGAGTAGTCGATTGTCCGGTGACTGACAGTCATACACATCCAGGTGTATCACCTGTGAGTCCACGTGTTCGCCTATGGTGTACACAAATAATTTGCTAGATAATTAAAACATTTTCAATTTGTTTGTACACTGCCAAGATATGTGTTGCACCTAAATGATTTGTTTTGTAAATATTAAATAAAAATATTTTTGACTAATTTTGAATATTTGCATGATTAATTATTTTAATTACTTATATATTTTATTTAATTATTATTATGGTTTGGATTACTGTAAAAATATTTAAAGATTAACTTTTTGTTAACCAATAGTGTTATCTAATTAACAAATGTAAACTATTTTTAACAGTGAATTAGTGATTATAATGTATTTGGTCTATGAATCTCACCACAACGTGCTGTATCACCAACCCATCTACCGTTCCTACACTCCAGTTCCTGTTTGAATTGCGGGAACTCATCCTTTTTGCAGTGAACCAACACTTTCTCCTTATTATCGAAACGACTTCTTTCGGGTGATATCAGCCATAACTGGGCTTTTGGTGGCAGTCCCGGTCGGGCACACCTACCCGTCACCGGGGGCTCACCAAAACATAGAGACACCAAATCCACAGTTAAAATACTGAATAAATGTAACAAACATTTGTGTTCAAAATATTTGATTTTCATATTAATGATCAAATAAATAGCGATTGAATTGAGTAGAAAGTGTTATTTAGGTTTATAAATATTTGTTTAAATTTTTAAAAATTTGTAAAAGTATTGACGCATTTAATTATGTAATTAATATAGCTATAAGTTTGTAAAATTAAACTTTTGTTTTAATCCTTGCGTTAAAACAAATTTATGATTTAAATCCGGGAAATGAGTTTTGTCTTTAACGCAAACAGTCTCTCTCTCTCTCTCTCTCTCTCTCTCTCTCATTTAATTTTTAATTTATGTCATTAGTTTACTAATACTAAAAACTATTTGAAAACTATATTAAAGTAAATTGCTTACATGTCACTTGTCATATCCCATAAATTAATTTACTTTATCACGAGTTTCCAAACATCTATTGATATACCCATATCAACGATCACTAGTCTGCAACATATCAAAAATTATTTACAAAACTTATAAAAAATTTCGATTAGTTGAAGAAATAAATAATTGATTTAATAATTAATTATTATTTTATATTCTCATAATATACAGTATATTTAAATAAATTTTATTCTTATTGTATTCTTATAGAAATAACAGTATATATAAACATGTATATAATATTAAAATTTTAATTGTATTTATTAATTATTTCCTTATTAAATAAAATAAAAATTATTTATTTAAGATAATAATTAAAGAAGTAATTTATGTTTTACTAAAATGATATAATAATTATATTAGTAATAATTATTATTAAATAATGTAACTTTTGGATTGCAAAAACATCGCACTAGTTAATTTTAAAAATAAAATTATTTATTATCAAAAATTAAAAATAAATAATATTTATTTAAATCATAATGAGGATAAGTATGTGCTGTACAGATGTAAGTGTTTATTATATTCAGACTGTACACTAACCATAAATAGTAAATTAAATATAGTATTATTCTATGGTCTAGTTACTAGACTCTAGTATACGGTATTAGTATAAATTTTATTCATTGCTTACAGTCTGCATTCAGTAAACACTTTCATTCAAAGGTCCTATTATTAATAATATGTTAAAAAGTTTTATTTATAATATTTATATTTTATTGTTATTAATTAATAATATTTATATGTTTGAAACATTATATTTAGTCCATAAATAATTTATGTAACACGCTCGAAAAATGATATCTCAATAAAAAATTTGTATTAAAAATACTATGCTATGCTTTATAGGCTAAAACATTGTGAACTGGGTGAATATTATGTTTTAAGAATGTATAGATACAACATATTAAAATATGAACTATTTTTAAAATAAAACAGATTTATTAAATTTTATAATATCAAAAAACATCTGCATTATGTTATATATTAAATTTTAAATTAATTGCACTTTAAAATCACAATATTTTTAAATAAAAATCAAATTGATTTTTAAAATGTATATAAAAAATAAATTAAGTTATATGAATTCCTATGCATTATTTTGTATAACCTTTAACATAATTCACAATTTGCGAACGTCAGGATTACATGACACCCGGTAATTATAGATTAACAATTAATTAATATTAAGTTACATAACCACACAACCTGTATCCTGAACCATTATCTTAAATTTAAATACAAATCAAAACCACGTCTCATCTCAACTATTAATCCTGACAAATAGGCTTTCCTTAGTAAGTGAATAACAGAATTTAACATAATTTTATAATTAGGATTGTTATATAAAAGGGGTTATAATTTATTAAAAACATGATCTGTAAGGAGGTCCGCATCAGTTAAGCGGATCTGGAGTGATAGCCTTTCATAACCTGTCAGTGAATATATGAAATTCAAAATAAATTTAAATTAAATAATTTTTTCTTAATTAAAATATGTTTAACATGGAGTAAACAACATGTTTATAATAATTAAAATATTGTATTTTAATAAAATGAATAAACAAAATTATAAAACATATAAAAGTTGGCTCTATAAACAATGTAGTCAACTTTTAATTTATATTCAAATAGGAATGTCACATCAAAAATAATATTTAGCATTTATGCTGATATTTTAGTACCCCGTATCATAATTAGATTTAATTTCAGTAAATACTAAATTCCACTTGAGTCATATAATATTAAAATTATTAAAATTTATATTTATATTAAGTCTTAAAAATATATTATAATATAGAATTAGATTTTTAACAATAGGCTTATTTTAAATGTCTGTTACCAATCAAGATACTCATCAAAATGGTATTAATGAAAAGGTGCTGGATTACAAAGTTCGTAACCTTACTGTCGATAAGGTGGAGCCAAACAAACACGTGTCAAATGCTCAGGGAAAGTTAGAGGAATTACTCACCGAGATTACCGGTGTGCCATTTCATGATTACATGGAAATATCGGAGTTTGTGTCCCTGATGTTTCCAAATGTTACGTCCGATAGTCTCATACTGACAGTAAGCCTGTATCTAACGTTCGCGTTTTTGCTTGATGATTTCTTTGATAAGCAAACAGAGAATTTTGATGAGCATATTGCGTAAGTCTATTACTATTTGCTTGATTATTTATATTTGTAAATTTAATAAAATATATTTTTTGAATATATCTATTGCTTAGTGAATGGAAAACAATTATTACAAACCGCACTTCAAAAGAGCCTGGCTTATTGAATAAGATGTTTAATGTATTGAGTGATATGCTAAATAAGGAGTTTACCGAGAAATTTAGACAGTATCATGATGAATGGTTCATTAAATACCTGGGTGTAACTGCCTCAACTCAACAAATTAAAAATGACATTGATGTCGTATGCTATGAAAAATACGATAAAATAAGGTGGACACTAATATTGTATTTATTATCAACAATTAATATTTTCATTATTAATTAACTAGACGTGTTGACATCGGGTACGATGTTCTAGGCATTTTTCTATACAGCGCACTCAAATTTAACCCTGATGATAATGCATTTATTAACGATGATCCTGGTTGGAAATTGTTCAACGAATGGAGTGCCCGTCACTTGTATTTAGTGAACGATATTTATTCAAACAAAAGGGAAACTTTACAGCAGCAAGCTAAATTTACGTTGGTATACATTACAATGAATACTGAAGAATGTGACGCACAGGTAGCTTCGGATAAGATTGTATCGATGATTGATGAAGCATGGACCATGGTCATTAAGTATGGCGATATGCTACAAGTAAATAATGTTTCCTTGCTAGATGAGTATGTTAGTGAGATTAAATGTGTGCTAAAAGGAAATCTATACTGGTCATCGAAATCGAGTCGGTATCAAAATCTTGATAAATAAAGACACAATTAAATATCATTTATTTTATAATAAATAATTGAATTAAAATAATTATAATGAAGATCTAAGTTTAAATTATTAATATTTGATAATTTAAAATAAATAAATAAAAATGTTGTTTAAAAATCTATGAGTAAAGTTACTGTACAAATATTAGCAAATACTATTTGAAGGTGTTTTAAAAATATTTTTATTTTTATTATAATTATTGTTTGGCGAGACTATGTTTATTTTAAAAACTTTTTTATACTTGATAGTAGACATTAAAAATGTTTAATATAATTTATTATTTTTACAACGTCTGGCATATTAAAAATTTATATGATGTTATCATGTTTTAAAAAAATAAAATAAAAATAATTAAAAATATGTTTAACTAAATTGCAACAAACTAGCATTAAACAAACATTTAATTTTAAGTTTGATACACTTTTAACTATAATTGATATTGACATTATAATTGATAACATAATTTAATAATAATAATAAGTGTTTGATTGCCAACAATAATTTTGTAAACTTGTAAAACAGTGTATACTTTAATTAAATATGAATTAATTAATATTAAAGGTGTTAACATTAAAATTAAGGAAAAAATTATAAACCATTTAAAAACTAATTCACGATTAATTTAATACGGAACAGAAATATTTTTCACAATTTGTTTCTTATACAGTAGCATATTAAAACAAATATATTATGCTGGTAAAAGGATCAATATCCCAAAACAATTACCCAACGTAAAAATCTTGGTCTTTGACAATCATCATATGGATTACATTTTCTGTTTTCAAGGATGATTTGCTTGAAAATCAAACTACTAACATGGCCAACATAATTAAGTATGTACAATTTAGTCCAAAGTAAATTATAATATTTTGTGCAATATAATTTTAATAATCATAAAATAAAAACAAATAATTAAACACGTAAATTTATTTAGTAATTATTTAGTACAACAATTATACTAAAATTAGTCTATCATATCCGTTGAAATAAAACATTTTATAAAAAACTTAAAATGTAAAATTAAAATATAAATTATTTAGCAAAATAAATGTTTTTTATATGAAATAAAGGATTTTAAACCTTTTTATATACTTTTTAGATACATCCTTATGTCATAAAATGTCAAATAACTAGTATTAATATAACTTTATTATATGCAAAGAAACTGTTTGTAATAATTATTCACAAATGAAAATAAATAAAAGTTTTCAAAAATTTATAGCATTATTCATATTGATATGTTCGTCCCAGGTTATAATCGTAAATACACTTCAATGGTGGGTTAGGGATTATAGGGAACAGGGTCTAGGTGGTGTTAAACCACATACACCCATTCCATTCATATTAAGGTATGTATAATCAGTTCAAACATACTTTTAAAATAATTTTTAACTTATTTAAACTTTTAAGGCTACCATACCTGGGCTGGAGATTCATTAAGGATGCCGGTGCTGATATCAAAATCATAGCTAACAGTGCTATAAATGCAAGACATTATGGGATACAATTGGCTGAAGACTTACCCGTTATTAATGATATCAACAGTAAATTAAAAAAAGATAAAACTGTTTAAAATATTTTTAAAATAATTTATTATAAATGGCTTTTACATGTATATTTGCTTAATGTCAATTATATACTATGAGGTAGAATAAATGATAAATAATTGTTACATTATTTTTAACATTTTAAAAAGTTTAATACAAAATACATACAATTCATAGGAAAATATATTATCTCACATCCATTTCCAACCACAGCATCCTATCGCTACAAATGCAATATAATTATAGTTTTATCTTATAATAAGTTACATATATTTTGTATTTTTAAATATAAATCTAATAAATAACTGGATTGATAATCTAAACAAAAAATGTTTAATATTAATTTTGTTCAAAAAATTTTTAATTTATTGATCATAATCGTATTGATTATAATAACAAGTGAACCGATATTAAGTCAGTGGTGGCGGCGCTCATATCACGAATCATTTTGGGGTTATGGCCGTAGAAAACCACGAAGGTAGTTTATATGAATATGACATTTTAATAACAATTTTTAAATAATTAAATTTATTAGATATCAATATGTTTAAAACTGGGAGTCTAACACATCTAATTGCTAATAATTTATAAATTGCTGAGAAAAATTTATATGATATTTTCATGATAATTTACAGTAATATATTTTATCAGTAATCATGAAAATAATAATTATATCTAAATATATTATGAACATTTTCATATAATTTTAAAAAAATTAAAATTAGAATTCATAATATAATAAAATGATTGCATAAGAAATTCAATATAGCTTGTTTGTTATTAGTGGTAAATAAAATAGATAAAATAATCATGAACAACTACATTTACATTTTGTACATTTATTTAAATATGTAATACTTTAGTTTATAATAAATATATTATTTTTGTATAAACCAAAGGGTGCCAATGAGTCATATGTCTAGACGTAACACACATTACTTGAAAGTTATTTAAAGATTAAATAATAAGATAAATATTTAAATATTGGAAATAAAATAGTATAACCTAGTGTAAATAGTGTAATCTAGCATTAATTCAACAAAAATATTAAACTATAAGGATAACATAATTAAATAAAAATAAATTTAAAACTAGATCATTTTAAAATAAACTTTGGGAGAGGCTTATAATATGATTTGTAAACATTTAAATATTCTTAATACCTGTATATAATGTGGTAAAATTTAAATAAAATTAATTAACAAAAAATAAAAGTATTTACTTATCCCTAAAAAGTAAAACTCACATAAAAGTGTAATAAATTATTATTTTTTATTATCACAAATAAAGTGATAAAAATACATGTTTTGAATTTCAATACTAGTGTACAGAGTATTACATAAATGAAAGGAAATTCCATTTGTGTTTGTCATTGAAAACTAGTGTTCAGTTAAACACAGATTTAGACACAAGTGTTGTGTTTATATAACAGTTGCCAACACTTTGCGCACTGTTTTAGTGAATCTGATCATCAGTTTTAGTTGTGTTTATAAGTAAGAAATAAAATATAATATTTAATATAACGATTATAATATATTGTGTGTAATAATCAATTAATGTTGAGATGGACCAGGAAGGACCAAGATTACATTTTCTGGATAATCTGAACGCATATGTAGCTGGCGTCCAACTCACACCACAATTCATTGAATATTTGAGGAAACATCCATGTGCTCCCTATTACTTAAATGATATACTGGTATGTAATATAAATAATTATATTTAAGAGGGCATCAAAAGTAATATATTGTCATTAATGACATTATTATATGATTATTACTAATTCTGGATGATGAAATAACTAGCTAGAAACAAATTACTCTAATTAGAGAACTTTACGTTTATTATATCATCTAATGTATTGAAAAATGCTATCTAACGTTAAAATAAAATATTTTATTTATTTAACATAATACAAAGTTATGTTTACACTAGTTAAAGTGTTATTAATGTAATACTAGTTAAATGTGATGTTATATGTTAATAAAAAAATTAAATTGTACAGCGTGATTTCAACGGCACCTACACCGAGGCCCATAAACGGCAAATATTCAGCCAGTTCACCACCGAACGAAGTAACTGTGACCTATTGGCCAACATTCTGGAAAAAGTAGGCCAACTCGATAAGGCCGATGAGTTACGCCGATTTAACAGGTCCGAAGTACCAATGCAATATAAAAATGCCACAAATCTGACCGTGGTCAAGGCACGTACCCTTCGCTCAGGTAATACTCGGCACTTCGAGATGGACTCCAACCCGAGGGGACGGGCCATCATATTTCTAACTGAGCCCCGGGTCCGGAACGAGACATTGCGCTGGAAGTCTGTATTGAGTCAAATAGACTTCGAGGTGGAAGTCCACGAAAATGTAACCTGTGTTCAGATGAGTGGTCTGTTGGATACGGTGGCCGCCCAGGGAGTTAAGGGCAACGCACTGTTAGTTATGTTTATAGGGCACGGGTATGAGGAAAAGGTGCTCGGATTCAATGAGTCCGATGAGATGGCCATCAAAGATATTGTCGACAAGTTTTCAGAGATAAAGTGTCCGTCACTTCGAAACAAACCCAAGATTTTTGTTTTTAATTGTTGCAGAAGTAGTGAGTGTTTAGATTTAATTATCATCATTTATTTAATCATACTGTATAAATTCAAAATATACGAAACAATACATTAACTCTGTTCCTATATAAGGTCCTGTATACAATTTTAAGAGTAGAGTTCATATAAGTTTTGTAAATTCTGATATATGACAGATCAAACAATAATAAATTGAGTAAATGTTTATTTCAGCTTTATTAGTCTTAATAATTACTTTTTAATTGTGTAGTTATTCCTGGAAGAGTAGTCAATGTGCCTGGTCAATATTTAACTGGATCCAAAGTGCTACTTATAAACCTGGCCACAATAGATCAGAGTTGGGTCAATTGCAATAAAAGCACTTACATTATTTATGCCTGTGCTCAGGGTAAAGTATTATTAATATAAAATATGCTTAAGTATTGCTATAAAAATGTGAAATTTTAACTTGATAAATTTATTTTACAAAGGCATCAAGTCCTGGTACGACCCCACGTCCGGACTAACCTTATTTGGACAGACACTCAGCCATACAATCGCACAGTTCGCTTGGTATAAGCATTTGACCGAGTTGGTCACACTGGTATTTTTAACCAAGATTAAAATATATATAATTGAGGAATACAATATTTGCATTTCTAAATGACCTAGACACACGACCGGTTGGAACAGGAGTTTGGGGGTACGCCCGATGAGTTGAGACCGGAAATCCGACTGAACTCAGTGGGCCGACAGCTCTACCTAAACCCGGGTCTTTACAAATGAGTTTTTAAATATTAATATAATACATGTTATGGCAATCAAATTAAGTTTATTTTTTATTTTAATAAATATTTCATGTTATAATAAAGTAACATCTCTAAAATGCTAATTAATTCAATATAATATATTATTTTAATTTTTTGTTGTATTAATTGTTTGTCATTAATAATTACAAATAATAAAAATTCTTAATTTAAAGTAATACTTAATAAATTAAAAGTTTAAACTAAAAATTGTAGTCAAAAATAAAATAGGCAAATAATAATAGCACATATCATGGTAGAAATACAGGGTAGACTTTAATTAACGATACCATTTTGATTCTTGTTTATTTGAACACCATGTATTATTTTTAATTGATTCCTTTACCAAATTATAGAGGAATAGTTAGGGTTTTATTTGATATATAACATGCCCAGAATATTCTTGTGCGTGATTTTTAAAATGATATTTCCCCCAAAAGTGCTAAACATTTGGTA